TAATATTGTGATTGCTACATAAGTTCAGTAACATCTGTAAACCTGAAGAAGGCTGGTATGGCCAGCCGAAATATTGTTATAAAAAACAATACACGTTGTTTTAAATCAGCCTTGCTGTAGTCTTCGGACTTCTCGTTCTTGTTTCTTTATATTTTGGCTGATTTGATCTCTTTTCCAGAGATCCAACGTTTACAACTAGCAGGATCTTCGTCCACGGTTTTTGCAGTTAATTTAATCCTTTATCCACTAATGCACTATAAAACCGAAAAAAATGTTTTATTCATTAAAATTAAACGATGAAAGGGAGGCAAATATGATATTGATAGTTCAGAGTGTAGCACGAGTGCGATACTGCGCGAACGTGAAGAACTAAGACCAGCTTTATGGCTAATTTCATTTGGCTTAACTTGCTGGTCTGGACTTTATGTGTCTTGCATGCGATTATGTATACTGGTAGGTGTTTGTTCACGTCTTAATCTTGTCCCCGATTTCAATTTTGGTGCAGTTTCTTTGGTAACAGTAAACGGGTTGATATCGGCTCCGTTTCATTCTACATCCATTCTCAGTGGCCCATCTCATAAGTTTTTGTTCTGTTTCGTTTCGTTTTGTTTTGTTTTGTTTTTTGCCTCATTTATTCTTTTTATTATCATTATTGTTTCTAAGTAGAGAAAGACATTTTTTCAAAATAATTTCTTGTTTTTTTGCACTTTTTACTTTCAAGACACAAAAATATGGTTTGCAGTCATTAATGAATTGAATGTGCGGAAATAAATGCCTTCACTCTTAATTCAACTTTTACCAAAGCATGGGTTTCGCATATTAACGCGTTTTTAATATACAACATACCATTGAACTGAAGGCGCTTTCGTAAAACAAGTTTTTTAGAAAAGCATAGAGATGAATATTATTTTAAAAGTCAACATAATTTCCCTGCAAAGTTCTTGTAGTGTTCGTGAAGGTTTCTTACATCCAACTTCGCAGAATCGTTCAGTTAGCAGTTTATGTCTGGTCGTTCGCCAGTTTTTGCTTCTTATGTCCCCGTTAAGGTTACACAGTGGAAAAAGAGTAGCACTTTTGAATATCACAAGTTTCTCGTACACAAAATGCTAAGTCATGCCAGTTCCTGTTTCTGCGAAGAACCTTTAAAGCACAAATTAGATAGCGACGGCCTGCACGCTCCGGCTTAGGCATTGCGAATGGCGGTAGATTCTTGTCTCGAATTCAAAGCTAGTGTTACGGAAACACTGGTGATACTTTGTACTTTCACTACTTTCACTAAACAGGGATACAGGGCCATAAAACGAAAGGAAAAAGGCAAATTCGTATTCATAAACCAGCTATATTGATACCAGTCACGTTCTTACATAAGTATTAATATAATTATGACTGTGCAATAGACAACATATTTCGGCGAATACAAAAAATTTAACATTGGTTCTTGAAAAGAAAATAAGCTAAAATAGATTTTCAACGGTCATTTTTGGAAAAAGGAATTTATCCTTTAGAAAAAAAAAGCAGTATGGTAACTTATTTTATTTATCAATTTATTTATATTCGACGCGAATTTGGGGGTTTAGGAGTTAGCCTTCGTGATAGCTTTAAAGTGACAATATTCACAAGAAGATGAAAGCCGGTTACATCCCTTCAACCCGTAAGATTCCACCATCCTTTATTGTAATCTTATTCTAATATAATCCAGTTGAGGCGAAAAACCCAATATGGCACCTCGGTTCTTTCGCAGGTGTTAAACGGAAGATAGATTTACAGCAGTTTTTTTTAGAATCTCTCAGTCCTCTTTAAATTATTGCTTCATATAGTTTTAGTTTACATTGAATCCTTATTCAGAATTATAATCATTATGTTTTAATTTCAGCAAAATATACCAAGGACATTTTCAAGCATTTTTTTTTTCAAGCGCCAAAAATAGTAGCTTTAACAGAACATGCAAATACTTCAAATAACAAACTGTAATTGTTGCTAAAATACAATTCACCAAACGTTCAGCCTGACAGTTTGTTGTTTTTTTTTTCTTTTCATATATTCACAACATCATTTCAGTCTATGTAACTTGTTGACAGCCATGCACGCGAATATGATTTATTGGGTGGGATTAGCTTTATCCTCCAACACCTTTGGGTTTTAAAACGAGACTATGCCATGTACATCATGATCAGTGTTTTTCCGTGTTTTCATGACAACCAATCCGGGTTATTTGCAAATTCGATAAGCACGGCTGCCGCAAGCTGCACTCTATCAATATTTGGATGCGTCTCTTATGAACCTTATCAAGGACTTTATTCGCAAGCTTGATCTAAGTGAAATAAGCTTCCCGAATTACAAGATCTTTCAACATACTAGCAAATAAATTAAAGCGGCTTAGATAAATAAATGAATCAATAAAAAACTAACTTAGTAATTGAATTGGTAATATATAGAAAGATCAATAAATACATATATAAATAAAACGAAGTAAAGTCGAGCAAAGCGTGAAGAATTTCTGGCAAGAAAAACCACATAATTCGTACCGAAGTTGTTCATTCGATGGGCTTAAGCCAGTCGCATTCAAATGGAAATGAGATTTTTCCAAGACCTATGAAAGTAGTTGTTAGAAATGAGCCTGCTTTTCGATATTTATTTCATTTATTGTTAATTCAACAGATTAGAATTACTGCATAGAAAATAACCTGAGGTATTTTTGGCTTATTTGTTTTGTTTTTGTTGTTTGTTTGTTTGTTTGTTTTGCAGTTGTGTCTCCAGAGTACAACCGCATTATAACCTTTAAGGAACCTGCAAAAGGAAAAGCACTACAAGGTCACGTGATTAGATCAGTAAGGGTGACCAATGAGGGAAGCTGTCGTGTGCAGTGCTTCATGGAGCCAAACTGTGTGTCAATCAATGTAGGACCAGTACAGGAGGGAAAAAACATATGTGAACTAAACAATGCCACGGATGACAGCCCTTCACAGTCGGCCTTGAAGAACGTCGCACAAAACATTCACTATGCCGTTGAGGTACGCTGTATGTCTTTGACTGTATCTTAAATAAGTTTACCCCCTCT